TTAGCCAGGATGGTCTCGATCTCCTGACCTCATGATCCGCCCGTCTCGGCCTCCCAAAGTGCTGGGATTACAGGCTTGAGCCACCGCGCCCGGCCTAGAGCCGGCCGGAATTCTTAAGACTATTGTGGGGACTACCTGAAAGCTGATGGGAGGAAGGGCTTTGCAAACACAGGTCACAGCCTTCCTCCCTGTGCCCTCAGCCTTCTCCCTGATCGTGGTGGATGAGTGCCATCACACGCACAAGGACACAGTCTACAACGTCATCATGAGCCGGTACCTAGAACTTAAACTCCAGAGGGCACGGCCCCTACCCCAGGTGCTGGGTCTTACAGCCTCCCCAGGCACTGGCGGGGCCTCCAAGCTCGATGGGGCCATCGACCACGTCCTGCAGGTCAGCCTGGCCCCTGTGGGCCTCCCACTGCCAGACCCACCAGGGACTTCCCTCCCTCCCTCCCTCCCTGCCTGCCCTGCCACTACCCCATCCCCACCAGTCCTACCAGGCTCTCCATGGCAGTGTCTGGCCCCTTCCTCGCCTAAGATCCAGCCTCCAATGGTTTCTTATGGCACAAAGAATTAACTCCCAACTCTACTATGGTTTACAAAGTTCCACATGATCTACCTCTCCACCTCATTTCCTGCGCCCTCCCTGTTGTAGCTCATCCTGCAGCTACACTGGCCTGCCTTCTGCATCTTGAACATGCAGGGCTTGTTCCCATCTCGTGACCTTTGCACTTACCATTTCTTTTGCCTGGAATGCCCTTCCCTTTGAACTTTACCTGCTGCTTCCTCCTTGTCGTTCATTGAACAGCTTAATGCCACCTCTTGAAAGTCCTCCCTGATCACCCCCTCTGCTCTCTGTCATGTCATCCAGTGCTATCCTCTTCAGAGCTTGTTAACGTGCTCTGCAAGGTTCTATTCTTTTTTTTTTTTTTCGGAACAGAGTCTCACTCTATCGCCCAGGCTGGAGGGCAGTGGCATGATCTTGGCTCCTTGTAACCTCCGCCTCCCAGGTTCAAGTGATTCTCCTGCCTCAGCCTCCCGAGTAGCTGGGATTACAGGCGCATACTACTATGCCCAACTAATTTTTTGTATTTTTAGTAGGGATGGGATTTCACCATGTTGGCCACGCTAGTCTCAAACTCCTGACCTCATGATTCTTCCACCTCGGCCTCCCAAAGTGCTGGGATTACAGGCGTGAGCCACCATGCCCAGCCTCGTTTTTTTTTTTTTTCCCTTGAGACCGAGTCTCACTTTGTCAGCCAGGTTGAAGTGCAGTGGCACGATCTTGGCTCACTGCAACCTCCACCTCCCGGGTTCAAGTGATTCTTCTGTCTCAGCCTCCTGAGTAGCTGGGACTACAGACGTGTGCCAGCATGCTTGGCTAATTTTTGTACTTTTAGTAGAGATGAGGTTTCACCATGTTGGCCAGGTTGGTCTCAAACTCCTGACCTCAGGTGATCCGCCAGCCTTGGCCTCCCAAAGTGCTGGGATTATAGGCGTGAGCCACCGCACCTGGCCGGTTCTATTATTATTTACTGGTTTATTATCTGTCTCTCCAACTCCAATCTGAGTTCCTTTGTATCCCCAGTGCCTAGAACAAGACTGGCAGAGAGAGGGCGAGCAATATTTGAGTAGACGAATGCCCACACCCACAATGGCCCACACTGTCCTGTCCTCAGCTGGGATCCATCCTGCCCCAAAGGTTTGCCCATTGTCCCCACAGACCCTCCCTTTCCAGTAAAGTCCTCTCTGTTGCCCCCAGCTCTGTGCCAACTTGGACACGTGGTGCATCATGTCACCCCAGAACTATCGCCCCCAGCTGCAGGAGCACAGCCAACAGCCTTGCAAACAGTACAACCTCTGCCACAGGCGCAGCCAGGTATGTAGGGGCAGGGACACGGTGAGAGCAGGAGCTGGTGTCAAGTTAGGACACCTAGGCTTGGGCCCTGACTCCGCCCTCACAGGCTCTGTGACTTCAGGTCACTTGCTATGTATCTGAGCCTCAATTTCTCCTTTCTGTGAAATGGGGCAGATACAGCCCATGCCCACAGCCTGCTCTTTGGATTGACTCAGAAGGCACCACCGGTGTCTGTCACAGCACTGACATGCTGGGGAGTGCTCTAGAAACCAGAGAGCAGGGATACTTTGTGCTGAGGCTCTACTGAGCCCTCTCCAGTATGGACACGGCCTGGTGTCTGCTATGACTGGACTGGACAAGGACTAGGTGTCAGGTCCATAACTACACCAAATGTTACATTTGGGGTCAGGTTTGAGCCCACGCTGTGGTCTGGAGGGAGGGAGGGAGGGAGCAGATAGCTGAAAGAACACTTGGGGGGCCATAGGCAGGTGAAATGTAGTTTTATTCAGCAGCTCTCTCAGCAGCAGCTCTCTCACACTGTCCACCTTTATCTGGGCTGTGTGCTCTGGCTCTGGGGCTCCTGCTGCCCCCACGCCTGCAGCTGCACTCCCTGGCCTGCAAGGCCAGCTCTGTCAGGGTCAGCAGCTTAACTCTTTCCCTCTGGGCACAAGCCGGTTCCCGGCTCCCCACTGCCCACCTTCAAGGCGACCGGCTCTCCCTTACAGGAGTTAGTAGCATTATTCTCTCTCTGGGCATGCCAGTGTGCCCTGCCGTGCCGAGCTGAACCGAGCCCCATGCACAGCGTCAGCAGGGCAGTTATACCTTCTACTGACAGTAGAGTCCAGTATGAACTTACACAAACAGGTTACATAGCAAGTGGAGTATGTGCCTGCCCCCTAAACTCGCTGAGTCACTCTGGCCCGGATGTCCGCCTCAGCCTATTCCTTGACCAAAGCACATCCATGTACCTTACACTAGGCATCACCGTGCCCAGGCCAAAGGGTAAGAGCACATCGTGGGTGAGACAGGGCAGGACTCCTTCACACTCCAGCCGGCCTCCCTCTGGAGCTCATCCCTCAGCTTAGACAGATGGCTGAGGCAGTCGCAGCGTGCTACACGTCGGGGTCAGCACCCCCACTGGGTGCCCATCCTCCAGTGTGTATGGGAATCCCCTCCAACTCTCTTCTTGCCCAGGATCCGTTTGGGGCCTTGCTGAAGAAGCTCATGGACCAAGTCCACGACCACCTGGAGATGCCTGAGTTGAGCCGGAACTTTGGGACGCAGATGTATGAGCAGCAGGTGGTGAAGCTGAGCGAGGCTGGTGAGAGGGGCAGCCCCTCAGGCGGAGGCGAGGATGCTGGAGGAGTCAGGGGCGGGGCCTGCCTGGGCGGAGGCCTAGCCACTCCAGGGGCGGAGTCTGAGTGGGAGGGCCCTATGGGGCGGGACAGGGGCGGGGCTGTGGGCCGCTCAAACACTATGCCCTCTGCCCGCAGCGGCTTTGGCCGGGCTCCAGGAGCAGCGGGTGTACGCACTTCACCTGAGGCGCTACAATGACGCGCTGCTCATCCATGACACCGTCCGCGCCGTGGATGCCCTGGCTGCGCTGCAGGATTTCTATCACAGGGAGCACGTCACTAAAACTCAGATCCTGTGTGCCGAGCGCCGGCTGCTGGCCCTGTTCGATGGTGAGGGGCGGGAGGGGGATTCCGGCCCGGAGGTGATGGGACCTGGATGCGAGGTCAGAGGCCAGGGCACAGGGGACAAGGTCAGGTGGGAAGGTGCCCGCGAGGATACTGGTGGAGACCCTATTTTTCTAACCAAAATCCAAGGCCATGGGTAGGACTGATTTGTTTCCTCGTTTGTGAAGGTTTTTGCATAGTTGTTAAAATTAATTCACATTGTTGACTTTTTTTTTAAAAAACAGTTGGGGTCTTGCTCTATTGCCCAGGCTAGAGGACAGTTGTGCAATCACAGCTCACTGCAACCTCGACTTAATGGGCTCAAGTAATTCTCACCCTTCAGCCTCCCAAGTAGTTAGGACTATAGGTGGGCACCACCACTCCCAGCTAATTAAAAAAATTTTTTTGTAGAGGCGGAGTCTCACTTTGTTGCCCAGGCTGGTCTAACTCCTGGGCTCAAGTGATCCTCCTGCCTCTGCCTCCCAAAGTGCTGGGATTACGGTGTGAGCCACTGCGCCTGGCCCAGATTTTTAAAAAACATTAGTTAGGAGTGGTTCCTTTAGACTGGAAGAGTGAGGCTGAAAGTCAGAGGGTGAAATTTAAGGTTGCAAATCTCAGCACAGGCTGGGGCTCAAGAGATCTGGGTAGCAGAGGTCAGAGTGAAAAGCTCAAGGGTCATCCTGGTCACTGGGAAGAAGAGGGTTCTAGTCTGAGGTTCTGCACTGTGTGACCCTGGTGTGAGGCTGGCCTTGAGAGTGGGCTTGGTAGGAGGCATCCTTTTTGTTTGTTTGTTTGTTTGAGAAGGAGTCTTGCTCTGTTGCCCAGGCTGGAGTGCAATGGCACTATCCCAGCTCACTACAACCTCCCCCTCCTGGGTTCAAGCGATTCTCCTGCCCTAGCCACCGGAGTAGCTGGGATTACAGGTGTGCATCACCATGCCCAGCTAATTTTTAGTAGAGACAGGGTTTCACCATATTGGTCAGGCTGGTCTCGAACTCCTGACCTAGGTGATCCGCTCACCTCACCCTCCCAAAGGGCTGGGATTACAGGCGTGAGCCAATGCACCCGGCCAGGGCATCCTTAAATGTATTCTTGGTGCTGCTGTGGGGGAGTTGAGCAGGAGCTCCATCCTTCCACCACCCCCACCTTCTGCATTCCTGCAGTCCTATTCCTGTGAGAACCTCCTCCGCCAGTGCCCTCCCCACTCCAAGATCTGAATCCTCTGCCTCTGTCTGGGGCTTTTCTTTCTTTCTCTTTCTTTCTTCTTTCTTTCTTTTTCCTTTCTTTCTTTCTTTTCTCGCTTTCTCTCTCTCTCTCTTTCTCTCTTTCTTCTTCTTTTTTTTTTTTTCAGACAGAGTCTCACTCTGTTACACAGTACACAATCTGGAGTGCAGTGATGCAATCATAGCTCTCTTCAGCCTTGACCTCCTGGGCTCAAGCAATCCTTCTGCCCTCAGCCTCCCAAATGTCTCGGACTACAGACATGTGCCACTACACCCGGCTAACTTTTTGGGCTTTTCAACAGGCCATAAGAATGTGCTGGCCCACCTGGCAACTCATGGCCCAGAGAATCCAAAACTGGAGATGCTGGAAAAGATCCTGCAAAGGCAGTTCAGGAGCTCTGACAGCCCCCGGGGTATCATCTTCACCCGCACCCGCCAGAGCGCACACTCTCTCCTGCTCTGGCTTCAGCAGCAGCCGGGCCTGCAGACCGTGGACATTCGGGCCCAGCTACTGATTGGGGCTGGGAACAGCAGCCAGAGCACCCACATGACCCAGGTGTGGGCTTCGGGGAAAGATGCTGGCACTGCGGGGGGGATTCCATAGGAGAGAAGTGTGGGGAACAGGGTCTTCAGCACAGAGGGGTGGAGGCAGGGAGAACTGGTGGAAAGAGAAGGTTGACTGTCCCCAGGCAGAGGCGCAAGGAGCTAGGGGAGAGGGGCGGACACTGACATCCCCAGTGCTGAAGCCTCTCCCAGTCTGGGGGTCCCTGGGTGCAGAAGGGTGGGCATAGGGGTCTGTAGGTCTGTAGGGAAAGAGGTGGGTGATGTAGTTCCTCAGGGCAGAGGATCAGGTCTGGGGTCCCTTGCAGAAGAAGGCTATGGCTTGGGAGTTTTTCCTAGACTAGAGGGGTAGGGAGCCTTAGGAGTCCCTAGGGAAGATAGGGGTTGGACAGTTATCTGGGAAGATGGGCAAAATCCTGGGGGTACCTGGGGATAAAGATGGGATTCAAGTACTCCAGGGAGATGGACCAAGATTAGGAGTGAGGGCTGAATCAGGAGAGGCTACTCTGGCAGGTGGAGTCAGCCTGAGCCACCTCATGTACCAGCCTCTTTTTCCTCCCTGCCCTTCCCCTGCAGAGGGACCAGCAAGAAGTAATCCGGAAGTTCCGAGATGGAACCCTGAACCTTCTGGTGGCCACGAGCGTGGCAGAGGAGGGGCTGGACATCCCACAGTGCAATGTGGTGGTGCGCTATGGGCTCCTGACCAATGAAATCTCCATGGTCCAGGTACTCACACATTTCCTTCCACTTGGGCACCCTTATAGGATCCTGTGTGGGGCCCCAGCCCCACTCAGGACACCCCTTGTCTCCCTTCCCAGGCCAGGGGCCGTGCCCGGGCCGATCAGAGTGTGTACTCGTTTGTAGCAACTGAGGGTAGCCGGGAGCTGAAGCGGGAGCTGATCAACGAGGCGCTGGAGACGCTGATGGAGCAGGCAGTGGCTGCTGTGCAGAAGATGGACCAGGCCGAGTACCAGGCCAAGGTCTGCAGGCGGCCTGCATGCCCTGTGGGAGGGATGGGGAGGAGACAGCCCCTCCCTGGCAGGTTTCTGACTGCACACATATGTCCCCCTGTCCCCTCTATATCTCAGGGCTAACTTTGCCCACCTAGGGAAGGTTGGATAGAGGCCAGGGGTGGGGCTGCCAGGGAAGGCAGTACCTGGACTCCAGAAGGCCTTAGGAGCAGGCCTTGTCCAAGGCTCTTTATTTATCCTTGCCATGAGATACTTTATGTATCTGGAAGAGCTGCATTACAGCCCTCCTGGAACCAGGCAGAGGGGACAAGATAAGTCCACGTGCAGAAGATAAGCCCAGAACTAGGACTTATATCATTGGTTCCCCTGAGGCAGGGCCACCACCATCCTGCCTTGTCCAGGGTGCTCCCTGTTGTCCCAGCATAATTGTTAATGATGCCCCATGACAGATTCACAGAAGCAGCTTTACCTAAAATCCTTCAAGATTGAGCAGGAAAGCTTATCCCTCCCACTGTTGCCTCCCACTACCCACACTGTTGTTCTCCACAGCTGCTTTTTTTTCCCCGAGACGGAGTCTCACTCTGTCACCCAGGCTGGAGTGCAGTGGCACAATCTCCGCCTCCTGGGCTCAAGCAATTCTCCTGCTTCAGCCTCCTGAGTAGCTGGGATTACAGGTGTGCGCCACCATGCCCGGCTAATTTTTGTATTTTTGGTAGAGATGGGGTTTCGCCATGTTGCCCAGGCTGGTCTCGAACTCCTGACCTCAAGTGATCCACCCTCCTTGGCCTCCCAAAATGCTGGGATTACAGGCATGAGTCACTGCACCCAGCAATAGAGCTGCTTTTAAGCTCCAGGGAGGGTTAAGGAAAGTCTCTTCCTGGTACAAATTATCTTAGGTCTTTGGGAACCCTTTGTCCCCCAAGGAACGTTCTCTTAGGCCCCAGTCATGCCTGGTGTCCCCTCCCACCCCAGATCCGGGATCTGCAGCAGGCAGCCCTGACCAAGCGGGCGGCCCAGGCAGCCCAGCGGGAGAGCCAGCGGCGGCAGTTCCCAGTGGAGCACGTGCAGCTACTCTGCATCAACTGCATGGTGGCTGTGGGCCATGGCAGTGACCTACGGAAGGTGGAGGGCACCCATCATGTCAACGTGAACCCCAACTTCTCGTGAGACCTGTGGAAGGGGCTATCGGGATGGGGGCGTGGGATAGGGGACTGGGAATCCTTCCCATCCAGACAGTGCTTTGAAGCTTTGGAAAGCTAAAGAGCATTATAGCAAGTACTTATTCTGCATTTTCACAATAATCTGGTTAGACAGGTTTTATCCCTGTCTCCATTTTACAGGCAAGGAAATAGAGGCTCAGAGAGGCTACGTGACTTGCCCAAGTTCCCACAGCCACTATCTGGTTGAGCAAGAACTGGAATTCAGGATACTAAGTGTCAAAAGACCACACACTGACCCTCTGGTCCTACCTACTCCGAGGATATCAAGAGAGCTTGGCCATCCCTGAGCCATCCCCCATCCTCTGTCTCCTAGACAGTAACCTTCCCCCATCCTCCATCCATTCATTATGTCACCCTCTGTGTTCCAGGCCACTGTGCCAAGGATCTTCACACAGGTTTTCTCAATTGAGGAAGTCGCATTTCAGCTAGGTCTCAATGGGTCTGGTTTGAATTTGAGCGAATGAGAAGGTAACCACGGAGGGCCGGGCGCGGTGGCTCACGCCTGTAATTCCAACACTTTGGGAGGCCGAGGTGGGTGGATCACTTGAGGTTAGGAGTTCAAGACCAGTCTGGCCAACATGGTGAAACCCCTTCTCTACTAAAAAAAAAAAAAATACAAAAATTAGTTGGGCCTGATGGCCCATGCTTGTAATCCCAGCTACTTGGGTAGCTGAGGCACGAGAATCGCTTGAACCCGGGAGGCAAGCCAAGATTGCACTACTGCACTCCAGCCTGGGCAATAGAGTGAGACTCTGCCCTTAAAAAAAAAAAAAAAAAAAAAAAAAAAAAAGATGCCAGTTGACCTGAATGGAAGGGACTGTGAATAATGAGATTTAGAAAGAGACAGACTAGCCCATGGAAGATCTTAAAGGTCAGGTGTGTAAGTGTAGCCTTTATCCAGGAGGTTCCTCTTAGGAATCTTGGATAGATTTTAAGGAACAGAGTGTCAGGGCAGATTTATATTTTTAGATCACTCTAGCAGTTGGTGGAAGGATGGCTTGGGATTGGGAATAAGAATGGAGGCAGAGAGACCCATTAGGAGACTGTGAGACCAGGTAACCAATGCTGAGGCTTGAACCTGGGCACAAGAGAACATGCGATGGAGGCCACACAGGTAGAACTCACTGAAGACTGGATTTCCTGGCCTGGGAAGTCTGTGCCTCTTGACCAGCAGGAAGGCCCAAGGTCCAGGCAGAGGCTTGGCCGGCAGGAGGGCATGAGATCTGGGGCTGAGGAGGGTCAATGAGGGCTGTAGCCACTCCCCTTCCTCTCCAGGATCTACTATAATGTCTCCAGGGATCCTGTGGTCATCAACAAAGTCTTCAAGGACTGGAAACCTGGGGGTGTCATCAGCTGCAGGAACTGTGGGGAGGTAAGAGCTTGGGCCATGTCCCAGGCCCCAGAGTCCTCAGCCCCAGTCTTCAGAGGCCCTCAGGGAGCCCTCACTAGGACACAGGAGACAGTCCCACCCCATGGCCTCCAGTCTGAAGAGGGAGGTACAGCCCCTGCCTAAGGGAGCCCATAGTCTGTGACATCTCAGGTGGGAGGAAAAGGCCCTGTATTCAGGGAATTCCAACTTGAGAGAAGCCCAGTCTGAGGCCAGAGACCCAGACCCTACACTCTCTGTCACCTCCAGATCTGGGGACTGCAGATGATCTACAAGTCAGTGAAGCTGCCAGCGCTGAAAGTCCGCAGCATGCTGCTGGAGACCCCTCAAGGGCGGATCCAGGCCAAAAAGTGGTCCCGCGTGCCCTTCTCCGTGCCTGACTTTGACTTCCTGCAGCATTGTGCCCAGAACCTTTCGGACCTCTCCCTGGACTGAGCACCTCGTTGCCGCAGTACCCGATTCGGGCTGTAGGGGGCGGGAGAGTCCGCAGCAGCCGTCATCTTTCCCGGGACACAGCCTGGTCCAGGCCCCTCCTTCCTGAATCGCCAGCTGTGGGCATCAGGCCCACCAGCCACAGAGGAGTCCTGGGCACCCTGGCTTAGGCTCCCGCAACGGGGAAACAACTGGAGGGCCAGAGCTCAGCCCAGACCTACCCTGCACGCACATAGACACTTTCATATGCACTGGATGGAGTTAGGGAAACTGAGGCAAAATAATTTGCCATACTGTACTCAGAATCACGACATTCCTTCCCTACCAAGGCCACTTCTATTTTTTGAGGCTCCTCAAAAAAGTAAATGAAAAAATGGGATAGAAAATGCATGGTATCTTAATTTTGTTGAAATACAATTGGTAGAAAATAAACTGCGTGTATAGTGTGCAATTGGGTACTTTTTTTTTTTTTTTTTTTTTGAGCCTGAGTTTCACTATTGTTGCCCAGCCTGGAGTACAGTCGCACAATCTTGGCTCCCTGCAACCTCCACCTCCTGAGTTCAAGTGATTCTCCTGCCTCAGCCTCCCAAGTAACTGAGATTACAGGTGCCCACCACCATGCCCAGCTAATTTTTTGTATTTTTAGTAGAGATGGGGTTTTACCATGTTGGCCAGGTTGGTCTCAAACTCCTGACCTCACGCGATCTCCCTGCCTCAGCCTCCCAAAGTGCTGAGATTACAAGCATGAGTTACCATGCCTGGCCTGGATACGTTGTAACATGCATATCCTCCACAATCAAGATAATGAACATAGCCATCACCTTCAAAATGTCCTGTTTCTTCCAGTGGAATTTTCAAAAAACAACAAAAGTTTCCTGGTGCCCCAGTGCAATCCATACCTCTGGCTCTTCCCCATAAAATGACCTGCTTTGTGGTAATTTTTAGTGTTAAAAGTGTTTGGTTTTTTTGAGACAGTCTCACTCTGTCGCCCAGGCTGGAGTGCAGTGGCGAGATCTCAGCTCACTGCAACCTCTGCCTTTGGGGCTCAAGTGATCGTCATGCCTCAGCCTCTCAAGTAGCTGGGACTACAGGTGCCCACCACCATGCCTGGCTAATTTTTGTATTTTTGGTAGAGACAGGGTTTCACCACATTGCCCAACAGGCTGGTCTCAAACTCCTGAGCTCAGGTGATCCACCCACCTTGGCCTCTTAAAGTGCTGGGATTACATGCATGAGCCACTGGGCCCGGCCTTGTGTTGTTTTGTTTTTGTTCTTATTTTGTTTTTGAGACGGGGACTCGCTCTGTTCCTGCTGGAGTGCCATAGTGCAATCATGGCTCACTTCAGCCTCGGCCTCCCAGGCTCAAGAAATCCCCCCACTTCAACCTCCCTGGTACCTTGGACTACAGATGTACCACACCTAATTTTGGGGGATTAGAGAGGCAGTGTACAGACAAGGTCTCACTATGTTGCTTAGGCTGGTCTCCAACTCCTGGGCTCAGGTGATCCTCCCAAAGTGCTGGGATCACAGGCATGACCCACTGTGCCTGACCTAGTGTTAAAAGTTTTAGGCCAGGCGCGGTGGCCCATGATTCCAGCACTTTGGGAGACTGAGGCAGGCAGATCACCTGAGGTCAGGAGTTTGAGACCAGCCTGGCCATTACAGTGAAAGCCCATCTCTACTAAAAATTACAAAAATTAGCCTCGCGTAGTGGTGGGCCCCTGTAATCCCAGCTACTCAGGAGGCTCAGGCAGGAGACTCGCTTGAACCTGGGAGATGGAGTTTGCAGTGAGCCGAGATCGTGCCACTGCACTCCAACCTGGGTGACAGAGTAAGACTCCGTCTCAAAAAAAAAAAAGTTTTAAACACTCCTTTTTAATAGCTCTCCTAAGCCTTATTCATAAAGAGTATCAACAGTCTAAACTTGAGGCCCATCAAGAGTGTGAGGGCTTCCTGCTCCCCCTACCCCATAATAGCTTCCAACCCCAATGTTCCCCTCTCTACCGTCACTTAACCCTCAGGTCATCTCCCCTAGGCTGGGGAGAGGCTGAGATTCAGGATTTGAGGGGTGGGCTCAGGTAGGCATAGGGGTGGGGAAAATTACAAAGGCCTAAATTTTCTGTTCTCATTTTAACTAGAAAGAAAAAGAAAGGCAAGATCTAGGTTGCTTCATCAGGGAAAGGGCTATTTCTGTAGTAAAAGGCCCAGCAGGCAGGAGGCACCTTCAAGAGGAAGGGAGGGGGACAGGGCAGAGATTGGAGGGCAGGATGGCAGTCCTTCCTGCCGTCTACCCTCCTTCCCTCCTGCTACATCCTTGGTTCTGTCCCCAGGTGGATGAGAAATGCACCCTCTCTTCTCCTAGCATTTTCTTTTTTCTTAGGCCTCTTGTCTGAGGGAGGGCTGAAATTCCAGCTCCAGTCTTTTTGGCTACCATCTCCCATAGACAGTGTACCCCTCTTTCCCAAGGCCCCCTTCCTCCTCCTCTCCAAGTGTCCTTGGCCCTGGATGCAGGAGTCTCCTTCCTCCTCCCTCCTGTCCCATCTCCAGCTGCCTCCCCCCAGGGGAGAGTCGCTCCTCCGCTCCCCACTTTGCCTTCAGTTAGTATACTGCCTGCCAGCAACGTGCCTTTTACAGGTCAATAAAATTAGCGACAGGGGGCAGAGGGAGGGGGCAGGGGCTCAGGGGTGCTAAGCTCAACGGCCTTGAATGTGGCTAGACTCACGGAGTCAGGACGCCTGTCATTCCAGGGCTAAACAGTGACAGCTGGGGGACCTGGGCTGGCGCTGGGGGCGGAGGAGGGGCTGTGTGGCAGGGAGAGAGATGGGCTGAGGATAAAGATGATCTGGGTGCCTAATGGCCCCCTCAGCGGCCTAAGCCCCTACACAGCTGAGCCCTGGAGAGGGCACCCTACCTTTAGAGGCGTGTCCCCTCTCGCACCCACCCTGCCAGGCCCGAAGAGCTCAGATGGAAGGGGACTCAGGCCAGGAGAGGTTTCTGAGCTTTCTTCTTCGTGTGAGGGGTCTTTATATGAAGTCACCGGCTCCAGGGCATCTGGGCAAGGCTGTCTGAAGCCGGGGATTTCCACCCATCCCCCGCACCCCCCTGAAGTCCTAACTTCCCAGCCTTCAGAACTCGAGCTCCGGGTCCTCCCTGTGGCCCAGATGCTTCCCCCGGGGCGTCCCACCTGAATGAGCCCGCGCACCCCACCGGCGGGGCCTCGAGGAGGGGCCGGCCCGGCTCCCCCTCCCAGCCCCGCCCCTGCCCCGCCGGGCCCCGCCCCTCCCGGCCAGCCCGACACGCAGCGTTCCCAGCCAGGCGAGAGCAGGTGGCCGCGGCGGGCTCCGTCTCTGCCCCGCAGGTAAGACGGCGACGCGGGCTGGTCCACACCGAGGACCTCGAGGGCAGCGCGGGAGAACGAGGCAGCCCCTTCCACCTGTCCGGTCCTCTCGCCTCAAAATTGGGGGACCCCAAGGGACAGTGAGGATATCCCTATCTCGGCTCTGCGCGCCGACGTTGGGCATCTGCTGGGCGGGACTGAACTCTGGGGCAGTTAGAGGGTCCTGGCTCGTTATCCCTGATACCAGGCGGGCTCCAAAGGATGGATAAGAAAGAGCCGGGCATTAGACACCCAGCTTTCTGGGTATCTAGGTTGGGGATGGTGACGACCGGGCTCCGGAGTAAGGAACCTCGTTGACTGAGAGTGCGCCATGCCTCATCTAAGGGCAGCCTCTTCCCCACCATAGAGGGTGATGGCTTGACCCAAACGGCTTCTGTTCTGTGGGCTAATGAGGTAAGAGCTGCCGCATAGCTGAGCTGGGGCCTGGGTTTTCTAATGAGCCCCAAGGCATCTGCATCATTTATTTACATCTGGGTACAGGGGAGTGAGCGGGGGATTACCCCACGGCCTAGGGAACCCAGAAAGTCTGGGAACTCAGTAGATCTTTTCTGTGTCTGTGTCACAGACCTAGCTGGGGAAGATGATCGCAGATGTTGCCTTATTGTAGACAGGGGAGCATTTGCACCCTCAGTGTTGAGATTTGAGCTGTAGGAAAGGGGTTCTGCCTCCCAGGACCTCAAGGAAGGCTTCCTGGAAGAGGAGGACCTGGGCTGACAGCTTGAATGTGATGCTCAGAGCTCTGAGCCTCTAAGGAGAGGCAGCCTTTGGGTCTTGGTGCTGGGTTGAGGTAGAGCAGAGGACCCTGGGTTGTAGAACAAAGGGAAGTCAGGACATTGCCGTCTGGGTCCAGCTAGGACCCTGGGGACCTTCCTGAGATCATCATAAGCCTTTGGACAGACACGGGTGACAATGGGGGGAGGGGGGCTTCCTTGTCTGTCTACATTCCCCATTCCATTGCCTTATTCCACCACACAAACCATCAGAGGCAGAAGGTCGTTCTCATATCTGACCTTCATCCCTTCTGGGTCTGTGCCAGCTTCTTGCTTCTGGGAGGCCATGTGCTCTAGTGGAAAGAGTAGGGGCTTTGGGGTCAGTTAGAGCTGAGTTCTAACACCTCTACCTACTGCGTGACCTTGAACGAGTTTCTTAACCTCTTTGAGTTCACTTCCTCACCTGTAAAATGGGGATAATAGTAGAACCCACCTCATAGGGTGGCTGCAAGGATTAAATGAGGGTACACATGTAGAGCGCTTAGCACAGTGCCTGGCGCCTGGCGAGCGCTCAGAAAGTACAAGTGTCCCCTCATGTGTCGGACAGCAAAGCCGATCTGCAAGGGTGAGGGCAAGCAGGGGAGCGGGGAGTGGAAGGGTTTTTTTGTGTGTTTTTTTTTTGTTTTTTTTTTTAAGCTAAGCTTGGCTAGAAAGAGTGCCATTTACTGCATGCCCCCCAACCAGCCCCTTCCCCCTGCTGGCTCCTGGATCTCTGGACCTATCTGGGCTGCCCAAGGCCCCTCACCTCCTCCTCTTTTAGTCACCTTGTTTGTGTTGGCTTGTGTCTCTGTAGGGGGGAGACGGTCCCCCCTCGCCCCCCACAAGGAAGGGACCAGTACCAGCAGGAGCTCACTTGGGCCTGTGCCTCAGTGGAACAAGCTCTGGCTTGGAGACCCAACCTGAAAAAAATGCCTCTTGTCATCACAACTCTGCCCTCCCCACCTCCAGAAATCCACAAGTTGGGATCAATCCGCACTAAATTTTTCCAGGAAGAAAAACAATACAAGTGACTGAAAGTCCTGTTTGGGGATTGTCCAAGCTGTCCTCCAATGGAAGAAGGGCTTCAGGCCCTGGCCTGATCTCTAGACTGCCAGGGAAGGCTGAGTTCAGTAGCACCCTTAAACCTGGGCAAGGGAGGGAGTGCCCATGCCCTAAGCTGGGGGCTTTCAAAGGCTCCACTCTGGCCCTCCTGCTGCCAGTCCTCTCCCTGTGGGATGAG